TTTAAAATTTTACTTTAGCTTGCATTGTTTTTAAGAAGAGAAGAGAAATAAAATATCTTAGGAGGAGGGGGGAGAGTCATGCGCCATTGACCTTGGGGGGGATGGGCACCCCTGGTTTCACTTACTATAAAAATAAAACTGATAATTATTTTATGAAAAACAAAATTATTTTTTTTATTAATTGATAACTTCCTAGTCAGATTTTCTTTTAATAGTTTATTTTTTTGCAATAAAATTATCATTTAATTAAAAAAAAAAGAACATTTTTCCTCACAACGAATCGACTGCACAATTATTGAAAAGAAACTTCATGTAAGTATCCTACCAACACTGTAGAGAAGATCAAATAAAAAAGAAAAAGACCAGACATGACTGTAATAAATAAATTAAAACATAGTAAATAAAAATACTAAGTTTTACTTAAATTATATATAACATTCCAATTATGTATTACAACATTTTCAATTACACATAACATACCATTACTTGATTGATATTAATACATCATATTTTATAGGATCCAATACCTTCTTTGATACAGGTCCTATAGGCTATGATTATTCATTCATTATTTAATGTTAGGGATGGATGTTGCATATCAGAAAGCCTGGATACTGGCTGTTATCATCAATAAGTGTGGATAAATAGGAATGAGAAGACCTAGGACGGTAGTACTAGACTAGATAGGATGTTACTGGAGTGAACAAGCTTCCTAACATTAGCACAGAGAACTCCAGATATTCTTGATAAAGTTGGAAGAGATGACCTGAGAGAACTTTGGAGGATCCTTATCTTTTGAGAGTTGTGAGTTCGCCCAGGACATCTCTGCATAAATAACTTTATTGTAAATAGATATAAATTTGTTTGATAATTTTAATATCTAAAATATTACTTACTTATTTATATGATAATAAAGAAATTATAAAATATATTATTTGCTGCAGTTTCATCGATTCCTCTCATGGGATGTCCTAGTTCAGCTAGTTTCTAAGTTTTTAATAGTCACAAAATAGTCTGTGTTATGAGCATGTTATCAGTGTAGCTCAAAAACAAAAAGTCTTATTATATGAAAGTGAAATTGCATATTTAAGGTTTTTATATTCCTGAGATGTTACATCAATTTTTTCGTCAAAATCGGCTTACAGAGTGGTATTTTATATAATCGATTTAACACACTTTTACGATTTTCTCGAAAACGGTTATAACGAATTATTAGTGTAAAATTAAGCAGTTCTACATATAAAGTAGGTTTTTCTTATTGATGTTCTCTAACGGGCCTAAATGGCTATTTTCAATATTAGCTTTCTCTAAAGTACCTTCATTTTTTTTTTTTTTAATTTGAAATAGTTAACAATTTCACATTGATTTATGATATAAAAAATATTTAAATATAAAATATGAAATAATTTGATAATTAACCAAAGGAGAAATAAAAGATCGTAACTGAGAATAGTTGTAATGGAGGAATCAAACAAGGGTGCCCAGAGGATTCATGGCACAAGCTGCTGTGCCATCAAAATTTTTGAGGGAGGCATATTTTGACTGGTTTCGGAATGTTTGATAGGAGCAAATTTCGACGGGATTATGAATTTTCGGACTAAGGGAAAAGGAGAAAACGTGGAACAGGCCGCAGCAAGCGTAATTGTATGTGATTCACGATTTTTTAAATCCTAATTCTGTTTTTAAGAAAAGATGAGCAATAAAATAAGATGAGCACAAGCTGCTGTTTGTGTCATGAATCCTCTGGGCACCCTTGTTTGGTTCCTCCATTACAACTATTCTCAGTTACGATCTCTTATTTCTCCTTTAGTTAATTATCAAATTATTTTATATTTTATATTTAAATATTTTTTATATCATAAATCAATTTGAAATTGTTAACTATTTCAAATTTAAAAAAAATAAAGGTACTTTAGAGAAAGCTAATATTGAAAATAGCCATTTAGGCGCGTTAGAGAACATCAATAAGAAAAACCTACTTTATAAGTAGAACTGCTTAATTTTACACTGATAAGTCGTTAAAACCATGTTCGAGAAAATCGTAAAAGTGTGTTAAATCGATTATATAAAGTACAACTCTGTAAGCCGATTTTAACGAAAAAGTTGATGTAACATCTCAGGAATATAAAAACCTTAAATATGCAATTTCACTTTCGTAAGACTTTTTCCATACATCTATGAATTTCGCTAAGCTGGAAGCTGCCAAATTACAAAGGAGATTATCGGTCATAACGGAATAGTGGTTGTATGTATTTCAAGGAATCCATTTACTCAGACACAGTCCGGTATCTTGGTTGTTTGAGGAAGTACTTTCCCACCGTTGAATCACGTTAGGAAGCCAAATGGGTCCTCCCAGATTACTGGCTCTCGCAATTCCTTACAGGGCATGGGTGCTTTCGAGACAAGCTCCATGGATTTAGAAAAGATGTCGATCCTCTATGCTCTAGCTGTGGGATACCGGAGACTGCTGAGCACATTATCATAAACTGCATCGCCTTTGAGTCGCTAAGGGCCAAATTGGTGAGGGAGACCGGTCTTTATGTTCTCATACAGACCGATTTCCCTCAGCTAGTTACGGAAGAAAACTACCCGTACTACAAAAAATTTGTGTACTTGTGGAAAGAAGCCATTGGACCCGTAAACTTCAACCTCATAAGAAGAGGAGCCGAGCCAGGGAGGCCGCCGGAACAAGGAGGAGCGGAATAAGGCCATAAACAGCAAATCTAAATATGAACACTGTTCTCGTTGCAGAAGAAGGCAGTTATGCAGTGACGTGAACAACCCAGATCTGCAAAACCCGCATTGCCTCAATGACACGGTAGCTCAAATAAATAAGTCCGGTATCATGGCTTTCTCTTAAACCGAAGACTAACGTCGAACCCACACACTAGACTTAAAAGACAAGAACTCATTCGACAATATAGACTATAGAACAGAAAATATCAACTTTCAAATGATAACAAATTACTGATCTACAAGCACTAGCGGATCCAGGATTTAATTTTGGGGGGGGCTTCAGCCTGAAAGCTTTTTTTTCATAAAAATGACGATAATTACTTTGGAAAAAAAGAAAGAAACTAACTATCTTTATTAAATGGTGTTTAAGTGATTCCTTAAGTCCTATTAGTTACACAAACAATAATACTTTAAGAGATAATTTTTCATAAAACATGGTTATATTTTACCATTTTTTGGGGGGGGGGGAGACTTCAGCCAGAAAGTCCCCTCCGTAAATTCGCCCGTGTCGCTGATTGTATTTTGAAAAAATTTCAGTCCTGAAGATGATTCCCGTCACTAGCGGATCCAGAATTTAATTTTGGGGGGGAGGCTTCAGCCCGAAAATTTTTTTTTTCATATATATAACGATAATTACGTTGAAAAAAAAGAAAGATACCAACTACCTATATTAAATGGTGTTTAAGTGATTCTTGGAGTCCTATTATATGTAATTAAACGAGCAATAATACTTTAAAACATAATTTTTACCATAAAACATGGTTACATTTTACCATTTTGGGGGGCTTCAGCCCGAAAACCTCCCCCGTAAATCCGCCTGTGTCTACAAGACAATACTGAAACCTATTTGGACCTACAAACTGGAACTGTGGGGAACAGAAAAATTTTCTAATATCAAACACAAAAAAGTTCTTCCAACAATGATTCATGCTCCGTTCTATGTAACCAACAAAATCCTACACCATGACCTTAATATCCAATTTGCTCTTGCCCTTATCCCTGAAAATGTTTTCAAATTTCTTCAAAACCTTACATATCATCCAAATCCACTTGCACAATCCCTATCTACCTCTACCCATCCTTACAATTCTCGAAGGTTGAAGTGGAAATGGCCCAGAGACCTGTTGTAAGAATATATTGATGTTCTGTCAATGGCTTGATTCTCCACTCAAGCCGTGTATGTCTGGTTATAGTGCTTCTGCTCAGCCTCCACTGGTCCTTAATATCAGTGAAGCAGCTGAGTGAGAGGCACTGAGATCTCCTAGAGTCCTGCCTTTCTTTCCACTAGTGGGGGAAAAGGCTTGGCTCAGAGATCATGAGTGAATGAATTTTGTATCTATTGTATAAAAATGTGTGTATTTAAGTAATTATTTTGATTAGTTTAGTTTCTTTTTGCTTAGTTTAGTTTATATACATTTACTTTTAGTATTATTATTTTTATGTTTATTTATTTTTATTTATTGTACATAATGTGAATGAGCTACTCTTTATCACTATTACTATTGTCCTTAAATGTGAGATTGTAATATATCTCAATAAAGAATTTTCGAAAAAAATAAAATGAAAATAAGGGAGTATCCATAAATTTTAGGTGGTATGGTGTTAGTACTATTTTATTGTATTGATAAAATTGTATTAATTCCAGATTAAATAAAAGTTTTACTAATGAATTATTTTTCTTTATGAGATTTTTGGTAGGGTATGACATTTTCTTATAATACAGCCTATTATTTATCATTTAATTAATTTTGTTTACATAATCTCGTTTATGTATTGCAACAATGATGCCTCCTCCAACCTCCTTTATATTAAATTATAATATGTGAAAGTTGATTAATAAAAATGTTGAAATATTATATATATATATATATATTGTCTAGTTGGGGATTAAGATATTATGTTAATTAGTAATGTAAATATTATACTTTTAAATAGCTAAATTACTATTAATAAATTAATAAACATCAATAAATTAATTATTAAACAATCTCATGGTTTATAATTCTGAAATTTTAGTTTTTTTGTCATACCTATATATTACTTATCTCATATAATCATAAATTCTCTATTAGATAGCACTGTTCTCAGTAAATAAGGAAATAGGAAATTGGACATCCTGCCATCTGTTGGTTTGGTGTGGGATTACCAGTAACTAGAGTATTGATTTTCCTCTTAACCCTGCATCTCCTTTAGTTTCCAAACAAATCTTCCAGCTATGTCTATCTATTGAGTGTAAGCATCATCGCTAGAAAATTTTTGTGATTATGAGTTTCAAAAGATTACCTCCTGGATGGGATTCCAAACTGGAACCAAAGTCTGGTAAAAGGTAAGTGAATAACTATAATCAACTTGACCCAGTAAATGAAACCTTTCAAAGGACTTTTTTTTTATTGTTTTTTAAGGTTTCATCTTACATGTTATTTCATAAACTTAGCCCATATGCTGTAACTTTAATTAAACTATACCACCAATATTAACATAGCTCCATTTTTTTTTTTTTTTTTTTTAATACCATTTCCTCTGTAATTTTAAATTGACTTCATATTAAACTCTGCATCAATCGTTTTGTGGATCTTCTGATATTTTAAAAAAATATTTTTAAATTTTACAGCTACTTTGTGAATTACTTTACCAGAAATATCAGCTTAGATGATCCTAGAATCAAGCCGAATTCGGAACAGACCCAAAGTAATCAGGTAATAGATTATTTATTGATATTTTATACTTATTAATTAACTTATTGCTTCATAAGACAGTATTTGTATCTTCCAGTCCCAATAATGTTAGTTTTTGAAGACTGTATGTTTAAATATGTTTTAATGGCTTCATTATCAGTTGTATAATGCTTGAATTTAGCTGAGTAAACTCGAATGGACTGGTTGAGTAAGAATTAGTACTTCTAATTTGTGCAGAGCACATACTGATTTCTTATTTTAGAATTGTTACCGGAGGATTGAATTATGATGAGAGCAGTGTATTTGCCATCTTCAGTACAATTTTATTTGAAACACTTTTGGAAGATATCATGACTATCTTCAAAAACTTTTTAGTTATAATCTACACTAATTCTTTGTGGTCTTATAAAACTTTCTTAGAAATTTATGCCCAATTCTTATCATCTCAATCAATTCTTGTATTGATATATTGTTAACACTTCTGACTTTTCTTCATAATTATTTCACTATTAATTATTCTGCTTCCATATTCTTTTTTATCTATACTAATAACTTGTCTTCATTTTTTTCTAAAAATCTTAATTTTTAAGTTTTTAAAAACCACCTTATTAATTGGAAAGATTGTTTTTTTTAGGATAATTTCCGTAATGGGCGGCATGTACCTCTGATGGGAGCTTCTGCAGTGCATTCAACCTCTCAGGCAGCAGCTATGACCGATATTATTTCCAGGATCAGACATATGTTCCCAACTGTTCCAGAAACACACATAAAAGCTCTTTTAATAAAGTATGTTTAATTTAGTTTATTTGGTTAGGTATTCTATATAAAGGTATTTGATATTTGTGGTAATGGGTGTACTGGACTTCTCCTCCAGTTGTGTCTGAGGTTTGTTGTAGTGATTAGAGCAACTCGTGCTGTAATGTTTTCATTATTATTATTTTTTTTTCTTTCTTACCTCGACTTTTAGGCTATACGGGGGTTTTTCCGAGCCAAGGGATGAGGGTGAGGGGGGAGGGTTAATGCTAGAGTTAAATGACCCTCTGGGCACCAGGACGCAAACTGGTTACATTATTTTACTGTCTCCAATTTTGGTTATCAGGTTATATAGTTTTTTCATTAAATATAAGTTAACACTTACTATTTTTAATCTAATTTTCACGAAGTTTTCAGAAATTGTTGAAGTTTGTACCTAGATAGTCCCATATCAATTCCATCCACTACTTTAGCATGCATAAATGTATTTGCTTAGACACGCCTATATTTCAAAACTGGCCTGTTTGATTTGGCTCAAAGTCAGATTAAAGTAGGGAGTTCATGAAAAAATTATGCTTTCTAAATTTTATTAAATTCTATTCACTATGCTTATTAAATTCTATACACTTAGCCGAAAGTTGAAAGAAGTTTGGGGAAATGATGTATAAATGGTCTAGTATCAATTTAAACATATCCCATTTTTTTAAAACTTTTTATTTCATTTTATTTTATTTATTTAGACATATAATATTCTGGCACAGGGACAATAATTATATTGATAAATGAACACATTCACACCGTATATACAAAAAAAAAAAAAAAAATTAACAAAGTAAAACAATAACTAAATAATAATAAATAAAAACTATATACAATAAAAAAATAAAATAACCTAAATATAAGTAAATTAAAAACATAAAAATACAATCATACCTATATACAATCAGGCGGGGAACCCAAATCCCTGCGCTACTCTCTCAACCGCCTCACCGGTGCTAAAGCACCCGAGCAATATTGCTTGCTTTCCAGTGTTGCGGAAATATGATCGACCACTCGGAGTCCTTTTTTTACTGTGGAGTGTTGTGAACAAAATCCGAACTGATGGGAAGGAAGATTTTGGGATTCTATAAAAGGTAGGATTCGTTTCAGGAGGATCTTTTCAAAGATTTTGGAGAGGATTGGAAATAGGCTAATTGGTCTGTAGGACGTAGAGGTGTTGGGAGATTTATCCCATTTAGCAATTAAAATAATTGTCCCTAATTATTACGAATATAGTTGCTGTAAATGTGCTAAGCAGTGGACATATAGAATAAGTATTAAGTTACCTGTAAAATAAAACATGATTATTACAATTTATAGATACCATGGACGAGAGGCAGTGGTTGTGAGTGCATTGCAAGTAGAGAAACACCCAGTGAGGACACCAGGACCATTTACACCGCCACCACCTGTCAGGCCCCCAGTACCAATTGCCTGCAGGCCACAGCCTAAGCCGCATTCTCCAAAAATGAAACTTAGGTAAACTAAATCTGTAATGAGAGCCTATTAATATTTTTATAGATACTCTCTGCATGTGGTCATTGCCTGTAATTCTACTCAAAAGCATGAGGAGATTTTAGAAATGTTCATCTCTTAGTGAATGAAGTAACATATAATTTTATCAATCATATTAATAACATATTTTTTTTGTTTTACAACATGGAGAAGATAATAACCAATTTTTTCAAGGTTAATAATTAAATATTTGCTAGATCATTGACAAATAACCAATTAGTTACATAATTTTCCATTTGTTACTTAGTTATTCTTACTTATCTTGGTGAATAATTTTATCGCATTTATTTAATAAGTCTAAGATAATAGAGTTTTGAGGTATACTATAGAAGTGCAGGATCATAGTGTCAAGTTTCATTTCTGCTATTCAAGTATTTAGATATTTAACAAAGCTGCTTATTTAATGTTTCATTGAATCCTTTCATTTATTGTCTCACTAACTAAAAAATTAAATAAATATTTATAGTTCCTTAAAGTTAAAACCCAAAGTTAAACAGGAAAAAGTGTATAATATGCAATTAATTTTGGCTTAGTATTAATTTTTCATAATAAAAGCCCTAATAGCAAAAATAAAAATATTTTTCTATTACAATGTTAAAAACAAGAAAACAAATCGTTTTATAGCTTCAAAGAAATCGTTTGCTAAGTCCCACATTTCATATATGTATATTCTTATTATTTCTTGTCACCCAGTGTCACAAAAGTATTAGGTTCCCGAATTCCCAAAAAAAGTTAAACACCCTTAAAAGTCTATATCCAGTGCCGGGGTTTTGTTTTAAGAAAATTAAAATCACGAGTGTAAATAACCTAGTCCCCCGATAAAAATCGAAGGAATAATCACTATACCTATCCACCTAAAAGAATATTTACAATTAAACCTTTAACATGTTATTTACAATATATCATCGCTGAGCAAGTGTTGACCGGTAAACCTATCATTGCCTTAACACTTCTTCATAATATGATGTCTGTGGCCATGTGGCCATCTGCAGTGGGTGTATTAGTAAAGGGAAGACATATCCGTTGACTATATTGATCTTCTGTTCTGGCTTAAGAAGGTTTGAGATTACCAATTTTTCCATATTTCTAGTTACATTAGCCACAGAAACATCATCAAACTCAGCTCTCCAGAGAACCGACAACCAAGATATTTAATAGTGTCACCAACTATAACTATAAACTAAATTATATAGTTTTTAATTCATTAAAAAATGTAATAAATAAATATAAAAAAGGATTTGCCCTTAGATGATAGATCTCTGTTTTATTGCTTGATTAGAAAATATTTTTACTTTCACTTACCTATATATGTAATGTATAGTAAGTTTAAGTGTTGCGATCGTGAAAATTTTTTAATCTGAGTTCTCAATGGAAGTACACAATTTGAGGTCACCTGAGTCCAAATAACCACGTCCTGAAAATGGTCTATGTATGTCTATGTGTGTATGTTAGCAGTCTAGATCAAAAAAGAAAAATCGTAAGAAACTGGTATTATGTATTTAAGATAGGTATATGCCTTAGATGTGACAGCAACTTTTTCGTTAAAATCGACTAACCGGAAATGCCACTTCATATCAACAGTAAAACACATTTTTACAATTTTGATCAAAAACGGCTCTAACGATTTTGATTAGACTCAATGTATCATTGTAAAATTAAGTAGTCTTTAATATCATTTAGGTCTTATCTCCATTGATGTCACTTTACAGGACTTAAATGCCCAATGTTCATATACGTCATCCTCCAAAGTACATTTAATATGGTATATATTAAAAAATAAACACTTTTTATTGACTGTAACCATAAAAAATGGCTAAATATGATGTTCTAACGAATATGATAATTGTAAACTGCAGAGAAATAGAAAAATGTTATCCAGGTTGAAAATGAATCTCTGGAAATAACCATCAGAAAGTTTAAGTATAATATATTGTTGGAAAGCGGAGAATTTTAGAAAAAGTAATATCAAATAAATAAAATTGTAGAAGGGAAAGGAGAGTGACGAAAAAATATATAAATAATAATTTCAGAAAATTAACATTATTTAACGTAAATCACATGTTTCCTAGGAAATGAAATGAAATTGTCTTACTAAATGTAAATTTTTTTCTGAGTTTATAGTAGATATGATATTATATTTAAATATTTAGGTATCTATCGTTCGTTTATTACAAAAAATCATTGTGTAAGCTTTTAGAAAATTAAATTAGTGAATAGTTTGATGAAATTTCCTTTTGTGATATTCCAACAGTATCCACTTACAATTAGTGTGACAACTTTTGACCTGTCTATGACAGACAATTCAAATAACTTAATTCCGTTTTAGTAAACTTTGCAATGAAAAATTACAGTTTAATAACTAATAGTCGTACAATCCATAGTTGACAGATCGTACAATCCATAATCAACTGATCGTATAATCCCTAATCAACCAGTGATATAATAAATAGGACTTTTGAATATTTAATAGTTGACCGTTGCATTATAAAGGAAGGAGATGGTCCGGGGTGGCCGTCATAAAAAGGCTAAATAGTGGCAAAACTGTTTTATTAAAAGCCAACATTTCGACCCGACTTTGTGCAAGTCTGCTTCAGGAAGGTGTGTTCAGCTAGGAGTTTCACTTAGAACACAGTTCGTACAATCCATACTCAACCGATGATGTAATAAATAAAACTCTTGTTATTTTAATGGTGTTTATTATGATTTATTAGCTGTAAATTTTTAGCTTTAGCTCAGTTAAAAATGAAATTAAAAAATTTTATAATAGCCCAACATGGCCAGAAAATAATTTCTATTCAAAGTTGAGCAGTAAGTGAAAGATTGAGGTTGACCAGATTTTTTTTTCATGTTATTGTAGTATTAAAAAAAAAAAAATTAAGTGTTTTATTATTATCATGCTGTAAAAATTCATTTAAAGAATTTATGTCTTCTCATAGTTTAACGTACTAACAAAAAAGGTAACTGAAAATTTTGATAAATCAATAGAACTTTTATAATTTTTTAATAGAACTTTTATAAATTGATTGCTGAGGATATACATTATAACAGTGTATGACAAAGTTTTCTTCAAATAAGTAAACAAAACTCGAAATGACTCTTGAACTACATGTTAGTTTTATCTGATCTAATTAAGTATTAGTATGTTGCAGGTATCAATTCTATTTTTACTGGCTTTGTGTAGTTATTTTAATGCATTATTGTTAATTGATATGTTTATTTATAAATGAGCCTCTTTATCATCAGTTTGTCTTACCTTTGTTGTAATGTAGTGAGTTTGTTTTATTTATTTATTTTGTTCATTGGATGCTGTTAAAAAATTAAGTTATTGCTAAAAGAATGAATTATTTTAATGTAAATTATAATTTTTCTTTTATAGTTTTATTGTGCCTTTCTTGTGATTTTGGTGTTGTATCCATCGTTTTGAAGTTGGACGTACTGAGGCTTCTCTTGCCCCGCTATGGTACAGTATACGTTATCATTTTTTTTTTTAATTATGTTTTTTACTGAGTTTTTTTTCTTCGTTTTTTGTTGAAGTACTTTACCTAGAATTATTGGCTGTTTGTCACTTTCATGCCTAAAGCTTGGTAGTAATGCTCTAATACTGTTAAAATATTTTATTATTGTATGCATGGTATTGTATTGTAATAGTTAGTATAATTCTCAAATTTACAAGAATATATAAAGAAATTGTAGATAGAAATGTTAGTATATTTAAAAAATACAAATTAATTGTATACTTCGTAGTTAAGTAGCTATATGATTGGCTTGGCTTTATTTATGCTTACATACTAAAACTATTAGTTAACCAATAATAAACATTTAAGAACAGAGGTTTCAATTAAAGAGACTAAAATTAATGATCATTTTGTTATTATAACATGATATACATATATAAAGACTGTATTGGATGGGAGAGGGAGGGGGGACAAAGTAATTTCTTCTCATTCTAAAGGATTCTATCAACCAAACAACTGTATTTTTATTGATAACTGTATTTGTAGTGTGCTGTTGAATGCCTATGACAGCTGTATAGTTATTAATGAACATATAGTTATCGGACAGCTAAACATAAGATTGATATAATGAATGTAAATTGTTGTTTTACTTTATATTTTAAAAAGTTAATATTAATATTATTTCAATAATAATTAGTAAAAAAATTTCGTTAATATTAAGTCTCTAAAAGACACTTCTCTAGCAGCAACTCAATTCGCACACAAATTTTCAACTCTCTAATTCAATTTGCAAAGTCTGTGGCAATGTGGAAAACTTTAAAAAACATCCAAAAAAGTTCTTGGTCGGAGAAAAAAGTAGAGATCTCAATTTTTTTAAACCAACTTTATTTATTTATAAAATGTCAATTCTCTCACTATATTTTGAGGGTTTGTGAGAAACTTTTGAAAAAGCTTGAACAAGCTGATATTTGCCCAAAAGTTTATGATATTGTCCTGCCTAGGAATCAAATTGCAGTTCATTTGACACAAAGAAGGCTAATGGAAGATTTTACTAGTGTAAAGTATACTTTCAAGTAATAATTTGTTAGACTTAATATTATAGTAGTTGTGAGTTTCAAAGATTTTAAAGTTGCAAAAGTTTTAGATACTGTCTGTAGTACAGACCCGTTATTATAAAATTATTAACATCAAAAAATTAAAACATCGTGAATGGCTTCATCCTATTGTAACCTAAATTTTCTTTATCTAAGAGAATTCTCAGAAATGGGCAGTTTTATCATTAAATTAATTAATTTAATGAGGTACTAAAAACTCATCAATGCCCCATTTGCTTTATATCTGAATGATAAGATAATATGATAAAAAAATAAAAAGGTGGCCTACAAAATATTGAGCCGTTTGGCCTATGTAATCTTGTTATTTTGACTTGTTGAGAGGGGAGTTCACTCCAAATGACACAATATTTTTTTAGACCATCTTTATTCTCGATATTTTTATCAAATTATCTTACGATTCAAGTGGAAAGCAAATGGGTGTTCACGAATTTTCGATACCATATTAAATAGACAAAGTTTGCCAAGATCCAGATTGAACACTCCCCAATTCCGTGAATTTTTGTAAATAAACAAGTTGTAGGATATTATGAGAAGAAGCTATTCACAAAGTTTAAGGCAGATTTAGATAATTTGATAAAAAGGGGTTTGTACCACAGACGAATTACTTGAGAATTATCTATCAATCACTGTTCATACAGGCTTTACATTGAAGTTTGTCAATACTGTGGTATTTCTGATTTGGTCTCGTTTTGTTTTACCTTCAATTCTCCAAAGGAATCTCATCTCAGAACTCTGCAGTAGACTCTTGTGCTTTGTCGTAAGTGTCGAAAATTCAATGAAATATTTCAATACTGTGATGAAAGTGGCTTTTTATATAGCCACCTTTGTTTCTATTGATACTTCTCTCCTGTCAATGAAGCTCCTTTTCACAGGATTGAAAAACTTCGCAGGCGACACTATTCTTTCTCTGACTTATAAATTCATTTCCTGTTAGACGTGCTCCTAGATATTTAAAACTTTTTTCTCTGTTAATCCTACCTCTCCATTTCTGGCATAAAGGGAGGGTAACAATCAGAACACTGCTGGGGACTCCAAACTATGGCCTGTAGGCCAGATATAAGCACCTCCAATCCAGCCTATGAAAGTTTCTTTGATTACATGGTAAAATTTTATAACTTTATTTCTGGTTTTTCAACGTAGGATACATCTGCAGATCAGAGCTCAGCTCCACACATCTCTGTCTTCCCAGTCTCCCTCCTGTAGACCTTGATTGGCCACTCTTCTTGGACTCTTCCCTTCCAATCGGTCCTTGGTTGTCCTCGCCTATCCCTTCCTGCCTTCCAGGACTCCGTTTGGACAATACTCTTCCAGCATTCTCCTGCAGTGTCCCTACCACCTCATTCGCTATTTCCCAATCCTCTAAGAGATGGTCTCCTTTACACCTATTCTTAGTCTCACCTCTTCATTTTGGACTCTGTCCAGATTTGTTAACTGGAGATACGTTTTCCAAAAATCCATTTCTACATTTTGATCTTTGGCATACAAGCTAACATTCATCAACCATGCCTCACATCAGTAGGTTAATATGGACTCGACAATAGCTGTGAAAATACGCTGCTTGTTCACGTTTGAAATATTGTTCCAGAGAACAGGGTGCAGTATTTTAGTTGCTTTCCTTGCCAGTTGCCTACCTTGTTTCTAACATCGACTTCGAATGCCCCGACATTGTCCAGATAAGACCTGCCTCTTCATAAACTTTCTTGGACAACCACCATCTCCAGGAAAACTTTCTTCTAGGCTATTACTACCTGATCGTCTGCAAAGAACAGCTTAAAGGAGCTCATTGTCATCATAGTAAACTCTGTAGTCCTGACTTCGTCTCATCTATTCCTTCGCTACCTCAGTAAGTATATCTTGAAAATGCTTGGAGACAGGTAACACCCTTGCTTCATCCCTTTGGTTCCTTCTACCTGGATTACTGCTACCCTTATTGTCTTTCTTTTATTTTTATTAGCTTGATAATCCACTTGGTTTTTGTGACAAGGTAGTGATTCCATCAAATTTTTTTCTGCTTTATTTTCTCCTTCAGTTTTTGTGACCACCATGGTGTCCTTGTACGTCTGTCAGTTTAACCTTATCCGCACTAGCTGCCTGCTGCAGAGAGAACAATCTTGCAGAATGCAGACCAACCATCTTCCGTATTTTTTGCTTCCCACTTGGGTCTCTTTCACTAACTTTTCAACCTCTTCCTGAAATCTTTTTTTAGTTTTCTCTTTTTTAAATTTAAAATATTTTCTTTTACAATTTTAGAGAAGCTCTTGTTTTGATCTTAGGTTATTCTATCCACATCTTGTCCATAATTACTAGATAATGGTCGCTTCTTTTAACCCTAGTTAAATATTTTTTTTACCAAAATTCTCGGAATTGGTGGGTTTTCAATCTGGAGGTCAGCAAACTTTAATTAGGTAATTAATTAGGTAATAAAACTCGTAAATACCCATTTACTTTCCACTTGGATTGTAAGATAATATGATCACAAAATCGATAAAAAAGGTGGCTTACAAAAACAATGGGCCATTTGGCCTATATAACCTTGTTATTCAGAAATTTTGGGGGTGTAGATCACGCCTAACGGCTCAATATTTTTGAAGGCCACCTTTTTCCCAACTTTATGCTCATGTTATCTTACTATTCCAGTGGAAAGTAAATGGGTATTTATGAGTTTTTAGTACCTAATTAAATAAACAAAGTTTGCCAACCTCCAGATTGAAAACTCCCAATTCTGAGTATTTTCGTAAATAAAATGTTTGTATTCAAGTTTCATCATCACAATGAGATGAAGCTATTTACAAAGTTTCAGCCGGATGTTAATAATTTGATAAAAAGAGATCTGTACTACGGACTATATTTATTAATTCCTTTTATCATGTTTCTTTGGGCCATCAAATAATCAGTTATGTATTTTTCACCTACATACAAATGAATTCCTTTATTTGGTTTGAGAGTGTTATGTGATGAAGTCGTTATTTAAGAATAAGTTTAAAATTCTCTCTCCATTATCGTTTATGGTGTCTTCTCAAATACTCCTTGCCAGTCAGCCACATTTCTTCACACTCTCGTGTTCAAATAAGCTTCTACAATAGGGATTACTGCCAAGCTGTCAACTTCATTTTAAGCAGCCTCAAAGAATAATCTGCTAGGCATGCATCTTTTGTTTGGGTTCCCTACTATCTGAGATCGCGATTCTCCATTTTTGCTCTCATATTGCGGGAAATCCCTCCTTCTTTTTTCAGGCTTGGGGTTGCTGTACCTAAACACTACAGCAGGTGGAGTTATAATATATCTGATATCTCCCAAAGTCCCATACTCGTGCTCTAGGGGCTTCTAAACTTATATAAAATGCACCTCCACTTCCTCCAATGACCTTCAATGCAATGCAAAAGCCTATTATTTTCAGGAAACTATATAATGGGATAAGTTACTAAAAATATATTAATCTCACTGGTCAAAATATATTTTATTTCAACTTTAAACTGGAGTCTCATTTGGTTCATAGTTTTACGTACTAATTATTGTGCCACTGGGATTTTTAATAATATTTATTTTTGAAGAGAAGTTGTTATATGGTCTTTTCTTAGCCATGATGAAGGCCTGAACTTTGGGGCAAAACGTCAGCAAAAATAAAAATAAATATAATTTATTCATTTTTACTTTTTATTTTTGTGTGAACACCCCAACCAACTTCTCTTAAATTATTCACTACAATCAACTATTAATCCACTAATATTTGTTTTTATTATTTTGGTTAGTATTAACACTTGTAATAATAGATGAATCAACAAGTTAAAAAGATCTCTATGAATTATCATGTCTTGTTATTTATATTATTCATAAACACTGTTAAACGGATTTGACTAACAGCTTATTTTTTTTTTCATTGATTTTAAAAAATTCCATTTTCACTTCTTTAGATATTTGAAGAGCGTATTCCCAGTAGTGGAGGAGACCATATTGCTCGACACTCTCGTCAATGCTGATAATAATGTAACACATGCAACTGAAAAATTACTTACACTTGGCTTCAATAAAAGAGAGATGCCACAGCCAAGAGTCTGCCTGAAAAAACAAGAATCTGAGCCAACTAAAACAGAAATTAAAAAATCTCCAAAACTAAGAAAGATGAAATCTGCTGAAGAGAAACAATTGAGTATGCTATTTTATCTTTTTAATTTAGTATTTTCAGTATTAAATAGATTTTTTTTTCTCCATAAACACTTCTCTTAATAGATCAATATAAATTTAAATCCATTATCTGGTTGCATGTTGATTAGGTTTGCCTGGTATCTTGAGGTCATCTCTTGAAAAGCCATTGGTCAAAAAAGTCTTTCATTGGGTAACTTTGATTTTTTTGTTGGTAAATTTTCTCACAAATTCAAGCTAATGATTACTTTTTCTTTCTCAAATTTTAAATGGTCTGTTTGAATTTTTAAATATTTCTTTAAAGTACATATAAAATTTAAGATCGCAAGTGTCTTTATTTGTGGGAAAGATATGTTTTACAACATTGCAAAATTTCTATTCAGTCATATCTTACTATTATGTGGTAATCTTTTGTTTTTTCCCCACTACTTTTGTTTTTAATATCCTGAACTTTTTTAAACAAAATTAAAAAAAAAAAAAAAAGCTAGTAAAATGTGCTTTATTTCTTTGAAAAGAAGTTAATTGGAGGTGTTCAGTAAAAGAAAGAACAAAGTAAAAATAAATATAATTTCTTTGTTAGACTAAACACATCCTACCCATTAACACTTCTCTTTAATTTATATATATTAAAGAGTCGAAAATCTAGCCAATATACTTTCTTTCTTCAGAAAAGCACTTTTGCTTCTTAGTATTATTAATAAAGAGAATTTAATTTCCACATCATAGTAGTGGTTATGCTGGGTTTACTTTTAAGTACATTAGGGAGTCATAAATTATGCCCCTTAATTTTACTTGACCTTAATGCCTTTTAGGTTTATTTAACCCATCCTCAGCTACTTCTTTATTTTAGAGCTACATATTATATATTTTTCAACTATCTGGAAGTAATTAAGCTTATATATATGTATATATATGTGTGTCTGTGTGTGTGTATAGTGAAAAAAATACTTCTTTTATAATATTTTCTTATTAATAAAACTTTCTCAAACCGAAATTTCAGAGATTTCCTTCTTACTGAGGGTTCCATTCTTAAATAATTAAATATTGGACATCGCATAATAGAATAGGACATTTAAAAAAAATTGTATTTTATTTCAATTATTATGACCAAATATTTTATAAGAATTATAGATCTGAGAAAAATAAAAAAAACTGTTGGTAATAACTATTCGAGAATGGAGCCCTAATGATATAAGAGATCTTCAAAACATAGGGTTTTATTAATAAAAAGACATTACAGTGAAAGTATTTTTTCACTAGACATATATTGAGATATCTGAATTTTATTTTTATTTATTAAGCTGAGTAGAGACCATTCCAGATTTCCAATTAAGTTTTTTAAATTCTCAAGGTTAAATTTTAAATTGACAACAAGTCTAATTTCACTGCCAAACTACAAAAATTCTTTATTATTATGTTACCAGTTAAACAACGTATATGTAAAAAGCATCCAGAAGTTGCTGAAAGAGTCGTGTCTATTGCTCTTGACAGTGCAGGATTCAATGAAGAAACTGCAGAAACAATCTTGGCAATGATGCTGGACGAGCAGAAAAAATCATTGTAAGGATCAGTGTAATATGTTAATTATCTTTTCCTTTCTCTAAAAATTCATCAAAACAGAATATTTATGTAGATATTTAATGCAATGAAAAATGAATATGTTAGAATTTTGAGGCTTGGAAATAGAAAAATGGTTAGAGTTTTGCTTTGCTCTTTTACTGAATTAATCTTGAAGTGCACAAATATTACATAATTTTTTGTAAGTCTTTTTAAATTAATGTTTACTATAGAGAATGATATCAATGCTAATTTTATTCTTCCAATGTAAAGTTAAGTTTAATAATTTAGTAATAAAATTTATTTATTTTTACAAGCTATTGCTAAATTTTATAAAATAAATCTATGGTTTGGCAATCTTATAATTACCTTTAGACAACTTGGTCCACCGATTTTGTTTAGAATATGTTGGTGATTGCTCAATTTAGTAAAAGAGGCCCTACTACATTTTAAGTGTATGACTAATTACAATAGTACCATTGACCCAAGTTTTTAAAATTTGCCCTTTTAGGAAAACAAATCTGTTTCTTAATGCTTCACATTGTAAGGTCCACTATTCATTAACTATCAAATTTGAATCCCTTCAATATTTATTTATTAATTTTAATACAGAACATTTCTTCATTGAGAACAATTTAGTTTGTTTTAATAATTTTGCATATAAGGCTTTTTTTAAATTTTTCTAACCATCATTTTGTCAATGTAATGATGATATAGGATTGTAAGTAATATTACATCTAGATTGCATGTTTATTAAACTATTAAATTGTTGTGTTATTTTTATTTTTTTAATCCTTCAGAAAAAAAAATCACATTAATAAATACATTTTTCTTCAATTAAATGCATTTTGTAGTGATATAATTTTACTTTATTCTACCACAAGTATCAGAAGGTAAGCTAGAGACTGGATAGGAAATCAAAAACTTGCAGATGGTAGTTTGCAGAGATTTTTATTATCATTGTCATTTTTGATGCTACAACCCATGTTGGGTCAAGGCCTCCTGTTACATTTCAATTTCCAGTCTTGAATACAAAGGATGGATCTTTTGTCGGATGCCATATCATCATCCAGCAGGTTGACTCTTTCAATCGATCTTCTTCTGAATAACTGTTTAATGTGGAGTTTCTTTGGAATTTGGCTAGCAGGCATCCATGCCAAATGGCCACCCCAGCAGAGTCGATAAATCTTAATAAATCTGATCTCATCACTATCCTGAAACAGTTCCTGCAGGGCTGCATTTCTTCTCTGTCTCCAGTCTTGGTTCACACAGATTATGTCAAATAATCTGTGAAGGATCTGGCATTCATATCTTATTAAGACTTGCTATGGTTTTTGGTCTTGAGAGCAACATTCCGAGTCGCTGGTTAGGGTGAGTCGTATAAATGAATTTTACAAGTGCAGTTTTGTTGTTCAGGAAAGGGAATTTTATTTGTATGTATCTCTGAAGTCTGAAATATGAAATATTAGTGACTATTATTTTTGGTCTATCTCAGGTTGCATGTCATTATTGGAGTTTAACAAAATTATTTAGATAAACTAATTCTTTCACCCATTGTAAAGTAAACTATTCTATCCAGATGTTTGTAACTATCCTTGTTTCATTTCACACAACCCCCTTCGTATACTTGGTATTGGTTTGGTTTATAGTGATACCAAGGCTTGCTGTAGATTTTTCAAGGTTGTGGAAGGCGTCCCTCATGGATGCAAATGATCTACCTATGATGTTTAGGTCATCAGCTAAGTCCAATATCTGTGTTGGAATATTTAAAATAGTTCCTCCCACTATTATATTAGATCTTATTACAATCTCCAGGACAAGGTTAAACAGAAGGCAAACTAGGCAGTCGCCCTGTCTGAGACCTATGTGTATCATGAAGGACTCAGTTATTTCTCCTTGTATCTTCACCATATATTGCACCATTTTAATAGTTATTCTCATGAGCCAAACTATCTTTTTTGAAATATGAAGTTCTATCACAATCTCATACAGTTCCTCTCATATCATACTGTCATAGATTCCTCGGATGTCTGTGAAAAGGTCAGTATATGATATTTCTTGATATTTTCCAGTTGTGTCTTTAAAGAGAAGATCTGATCAATGATTGCTTCCCTTTTCATAAAGCCAGCCTGGTATGATTCAATTAAATGCTGTACGATAGGAAGTAGTCTTAGGAACTGAATTCTTGACAGGATCTTATATGTAGAGGTTACAAGTGAGATACCACTAAAATTACTGCATCCTAAGATGTCACCCTTTTTATGGATAAGACAAACAACTGTCCTAAACCATTCCTCCGATAGTTCTCTCTGCTCCTTTGTATCCAATATGACATAATGGATACATTTTGTTTATTTTGTCCCACCCCACTTAAATAGCTCTGCTGGTAATCCATCAGGTCCTGATGCCCTATTGTTCTCCAACCTCTCAATTGCTAATTGCAAAAACTGTATTCTTGTGTCAGGGTACTTTAGTTTGCTGACATTATATTTAGTCAGGCAATCTCCAAAAGCATTTCATCACATGGTATTCTTGCTCTTAAGCAGGCTAGAAACTGGTAATGGTCGAAATCTATGTCCGCTCTTCTATATATGTTGGTAGATGTCTATTTTTTAGCTCTTCTTCAAGGACATAACTATTTGAAGTAGGTGAATCTATATGGCAAGTAAGTAAAACGATTCTGCATTGACTCTCTGATAATCTAAATTGTAGATAAGAAGGACAATGGTTATTGATTATTATTTTAGAATGGAATTTGCCTAAGGAATTAGAAAGTAAATATTGTCTACAGAAGGAGAGGATGATCCACCCTAACTCAGTGTAGTATTAGAAGACAGAGGATTATCTCTTGGTCCCATTAACAAACCTTACAAATCTATGCATAGTTATGTTCACTCCATCACATGACTGGAACAGATTAAAAATGGTACTAACAGCCTATGGGTAGGAGATTGTAGGATTTAAATAGTTTGAAAACGATAATTGACCAATCAGGTGGTGTGGGAAATGTGATTTCAGGTGAGAATTTGGTCAATGATAAACCTTAAGCTTTTTATAAGCAAAAAGTGATGGGATGTTCACTTAAATGTGAGATTGAGATAAATCATTGCTTGAGACTGATCTGGCCCTATTCAACTGAGGTGCAAAGAAAGTCCCAAGGAAGCCTGGATTACCTCAGGAGAACAGCTGAATTCCTCATTTTAGCCGCTAACCTGGCCGTTTTAGGGAAGAATGCAAAAGGATAAGTATCCTGGCAGACAGCTACAAATACTCTGAAGAATAAATAGAGTTGGACATTATGAGTTTAGTTCATTGTCTTCCATGAAGTTTTACTCTTTTGGGATTTCTTTGATACAGTTTTTTCAATTTTTTTCTTCTCTTCATTCATCCTATATACATGTCTTAACCACTTAATGAGTTACACTCTGATGAAACTTGAAATCATTTAGTAGATATTATTTGGCACATATAATATATCAAAATTATACTGTATCTTGGAGAATGTTCTTTTCATTATTCTTTCTTTCTTTTTTTAATATTTTAATCTTTTTCTAATTAAGTGATTCATCTGGAGAAGTAGTTGAAACTGAGAAGGTAGTTAGTAAATCACCAGAAAACAGGACAGAGGCGATCCCAATCGAGCCGATTAGACCTGATCAGAATATTAAGCAGAGGCATAAGAATAACAAAAATGAAATAAGGTAGGTCAGTGCACGATCTGATTTGCACCAAAGTAAAATATAAAGTCTGAAATGGTGGAGTTATATTTCTTTGTTATTAATTGTATTTTTGATTTGTGCTAGTAATTTTTTTTTTTTTTTGAATGGATTTAGATAAAATTAATATGAATGCTTAAACAATAATTGCATTTTTTACATCGATTCATTCATCATGTAAACTGTAAGACTGCCTAACTCAATTCTCAAAATTTTACAAGAGGTTAAAAGAAACTCCTTAATTCCTTTGCTAATCACAAGAAGAAGACGAATTTCTCATAAGTTGTAGCGTATTTGAACCTCAAAAAACATAAACTTGGCATATTCATGGTTTATATTCTTTTGAAAACATAAATTTGACCTATTCATGGTTACTATGAAGAAACTAATCCAGAAAGCTACGTAACTCATTTTAGTAAAAAATTAAGTGAGGTGGTGTTAGAATTTATGAATGCTATGCACAGTGGCTCCTTACTCCTTACTACCTGAGATCAGAATCCATTTCTTTAAGCTCTCTTCTTCAATGTGAGGACATTTGGTGGAGATGAATGTACATTCTAATTTCCTAAACTCAAACACTGCAACTTATATTTAACTTCTTCTTCTTCTTCCTTCATCCCATTTTGGGCAGTAATACGTGATGCCTGGTTTTCCTTGACCATCGTAAAATATACATAATTTGTAGAGTTTGTTCCCTCGCAGTTGATTTTCTGGTCAGGACCCAGCTGCCTCCTACCTTCATCGGTTCCATGCCAGTACTGGTAGCACTGCTGCCTGCTACCATGGATATTTATTGACTTCCCGGTCTAGATCTGCCATGTTCAGTCAAAAGCAGCATCACCGCGGGGAGGATGCGGTTCTTCCCTGCACATGGGCAGTCTTGACAGTAGCCTCCATCTCCCCCACTCACAAGATATTTATTGATTACTTTTTCTTAAAAACAGTTCCTTAGTATGAAACTTTTCATTCGAAAATTTAAAACCAATCCGAAATGTGCTCCCCTCAAATATTCTAAAACCCACAAAAATATGCTCCCCTCAAAACTTTTGAGGGGGCCTATCAAATCCTCTGTTGGGCAGCCCTGGTATCAGTAGTGGAAATAGGTAAAGGAGGTAAAGTGACTGTTTGAACTTACAATAACATTGTTGTTTTATATTTATCTGTGGGTGATTCAATGAATAGTTAGTGCAGAGGAAATAACTTCTCTCACTTCACAATTCTTATAAAGATTGGTAGTTCTAGAAAATAAGAAAACTGTAGGAAAAAATATGACAATAAATAAATGAAAGTTACACTTTTACCATAAATCAATAACTTTGTTACAAAAAAAAAAAATCCTTAGATCTTTTATTTCTAAAACATTTTTCCTAAAATGTTTCAATGAAACTGTTAAAATGAAACTTATTATAAAAGGTCAATAAAAGTTTCAATACTTGGTATTAACTATTTGATGTCTAGAAATATATACATATTTTATGTTAAACAATTTATTGTAGAAAATAGACTCTCAAAAAGGGTTCAAAGCACCCAATTAAAATATATGAAGAAGTTTGAAATTTCACAAATCAAAAAAAATTAAAACAAGCTTTAAAAAACTAGTAAACATAATATTTCATCATAAGTAAATTTTTTTTTTTTTTATTAACAAAATTTACAACTGTAATCAATAATAAATACAACAAGTAATATGACATGTACAACATGAAGAGAAACTACCCATTGGTAGCACTCCAATTATATTTCTATATTAGAAGGTCCCGAGGCCAGCTTCTTTTCGGACGCCTCGGAGGGTTATCAGGAATAGAAGAGGAAGCAAGGTTGGAAACGAGAGATTTGGGATGATTCTGAAGTTTATTATGGAACGATAGGTATCTGGATTGGGTATCTGAAACAAAAGAAACATTAAGGTCATCATGGATGGTTTTATTGGTAATAATGTAGGGAGCATTGAGGATTTTTGGATTGTAGGGATTGGATACGAGAGGAATTTGATGGTTTAGTAGAGCCTCAAAGCTCGACCCCGTAAATCCAAATAGGCCTTATTATAGTCATGTATATGAGTCTTTTGTAATTAATTGGAAGTTTAGAGCGTTTGTCTAGTAAGTGCTGAATTAATCGGAAACGTCGAGCGGTTTCTTGTAGTTTCAGTCTAGTATGAGGATTCAAAATTAGTCGTTTGTCCAGGTGAAGTCATAGGTAGCGGATTTGCCCAACAGGGATAAGTGAGGTGTTGTTAAAGGATACTGTAGGACAGGAAGTCATAGGTTTACGACGAAGAGTAAAGGTAATTTGATGGGATTTATTGGAGTTTATTTTAATCCTCCAGTTTTGACACCATTCAAGACTTGTGATGTGTGATTGAAGAGTTTGGGATGCAATAGATGGATCGTTATTGACTGATAGGATACATGTGTCATCGGCATATTTGGTGATGACAGTGTTGGAATGAGTTGGGATGTCAACTGTATAAACTGTATAAAGGATAGGACTTAGGATACTACCTTGAGGAAAACCAGCAAACTGAGAAAAAAGAGATGAAACAGCATTGTTATGATTTACTTTGAAGAATCTGTCAGTAAGGTAGGAACAGATAATGAGGAAGTATTTAGGTGGTAGGAATTTATGGAGTTTGTACATCAGTCCCGGATGCAAGACTATATCAAACGCCTGTTCAACGTCGAGAAAGACTCCCGTGATAACTAAAATAAAAACCAAAATTGCACTACCTAATAGTTAAGTATAAGTTGTATCAAATTGTTAGATATGCTTGAGGTTGACTATTTTTAATTCTTACAAGAAAATACATAATTATCTGTACCCAATTTTATAGAATTTCTGCTAATATGTCAATATCTAAAAGCTTTACATTTTTACTTACACCACTTTGACATTTAATATTTCAATAATAAATAATTCTAAGATTAAAACTGGATCACTGCCTACTGGATAATGTTTTGACTAGCAGGCTCTAAAAGTGTGAAAATTGCATAAAAATAAATATTTTTCATTCTATCAAATACAGAATGTGACACATGATTGTTAAGTATCGTGCCGTGATATTAGTTTTTAAAAAAATGTTTATGTTCTGGATAAACAATGTTGAATACCATAAAACATGAGGGATAAAAAAAAAACACGAAAAAACACATTTATTTTAATTATCATTATTTAGGTACAATTTATGGTTTTTGATGTTATAAAAACTTTAATTATGCTAATGTCGCTATTGTTTTTTCTCAGTTAAACAGATTTGTTTTTTAACTCGAAAAAACAGATAAATGTATCTAGAGTTCTTGAAGAAAAAATCAACGGGTATGGAAATAGTGGCTAGTTCCGCATGACAAAACAGAAAAGTACATTTAAAATCAGTGAATAACTCAATATGCTTTAACATACATCTTATTTAGGCACGGACTAAACCTTCCACATTTTGAGGTGGCAACATGGAGTTTCCAGGTATCAATAGGACATCCCAAACAAGAATTTCAAGAGAAATCACTGCGTGGATTTTCGCATAATCAATCAAACTAACCGTCTTGAATATAGTTAGTATCAAGAGATTTTAAGAAATAAGAAATGTATCTTTATTTCCACAAACTGTCGTCACATTGAAGAAGAAAGCCTGAAGAAATGGACTCTGATCTCTGCTAGTAATAGATAGGAAAGGAATAAGAAAGTGTAAGGAATGATCGTGTATACCACCCATACCATTATAGTATAATAATAACTCATTAGTTATGATTTTACTATGTTTATTAGAAAAGTTTTTATTAAGACTACCTGTAAGTAATCATTAAAATATTTTTTATTTTAAAAAACAGTGTTGATAAATGGTGAATATAAAGCATTGAACTTGATAAAATAAATTACAATTTGTATGATTAAAGTTTTCTTATTAGTAGAGTGATTTTATTTATTTATTTATGATTTTAAGATATATGATTAAGTAGTATATATTTCATTGAAAATTTACAGTTGGCTCATTCACCTACTCCATTTTTTCATTAGATTAGCAGAGTTATTTCACCATTTAACTGGATTATATTTGTCAAGGCCATGAATTTTGAATTAATAGCAATTAATGTTAAAACATGTGTAATTAAAAGATAAAAGTTAAAGAAATTGTAAATGATGTTTATTAATAAATTAATAAGAATGTTAATTTTGAAAAATGTCCAACGTTTTCTAGTTTTTTGAGTTTTAATTAATTATTTTCCATTAATTAGATAGTTTTAGAAGTTTTATAAAAAATTATTTATTTCCGTGTTTAGTTTAGATACAAAGCCGTCAAATGTATTTTAATTTTCTCTTTGTAATAATCATTTGCTTTAGGACTCCAGTTCAAGTAGAAACTGAATCTGAGCCACTCTGCTGCCTCTTCATGTCGCCTCTTCTAACCAAACCTCAGGGGCCTAACAAAGATTTACATCGAGGACCAGATGAAACTTTACTTTTGTTAGTATTTCTTTCTCATTTTTTTTTATGAAATATAATAAAGAATGAATAACAAAAAATCTTATTTGTTATGTTTATTGCATTTTCATGGTTAGTAGTCAAATGTAACAACTACATCATAGCCATAGGTTAATTTAATAACGTTATTCATTATAATATGGTTATCAATCTCAAAACCTAATCTTTTTTCTTTAGAATCATATTTATTGTGATTTTAATTTGTAGGAATGTATTTAAACAATCAATTATATAATAAAAATATTATTTTTGGAACATATCATTCTTTTTTTGGCACACAAAACTCTATTTCATTCTTATTAGAATCGATTATAAAAAGAATTTCAATATAAAATGAAGCAGTATGAAATTTTCCATGTTAGGTATAAGAATAACTTAAAACTAATTTTATTTTTTGTTGTTGAAAACATTTATGTTTCTGTAGGGAAGATTATGTTCCATGGATTGGCCCAGAAAAAGGTTTGGCGAAAGGTCCTGAAAGGGGTTTAGCCAAAGGATCCTCTGGTGCAAAAGGACCGAATCCTTTGCTAAGAAAGGGACCCTGTCCTTCACTTGCTAAGGGCAGCATCTACTCAAATCTCATCGCTGTCCAAGACTCAAGGGGTAAATAACACCAAGACCAGCCACTTATCAACCATGTGCAATATTTGTAAGATCTCATGCAATGTACCTAACATGTGCCAATATGTACTTATTCTAATGGTTACCTTATACTGAATGTTACCAATGGTAATTAGTACGCAGGCTACTTTTTAAGGTTGGTTTACAGAGTAAATTTTCTTGATTAATCTTGTAAATGGATTTTGAATCATCAGGAGATCACATTGTTTAAAATTTTTGAATGAATTATAGTAGCATTGCTTGTGTTCAGGAAACATGCTACGCTTCCTAACATACATTATGGTGAGTTATAGTTAAACTGTGTGATTGTCAGCCTTTATGTGTGTTATTCAATTTTCTATATTAAATAAAAATTTCTGTTTGGACCCAAAAACACATTTTGAAAGTAATTGAGGTTATAAAAAAGCACGGTGGTTTCCAATGTAAACTAGCAAATTGAGATTAGTTTCCCGGCACATTTACTAGTGAAATGTGCAAACACATCTGTGGGGGCCAAACCATAATTTTAATTCTATAAAAAACATCAGATCCTTCTAAAAAAAAAAGAAGTGTACGATCCAATTTTATGATAAAGTTTTTTTTAGATTTTATCATCTAATATTAACTACAAGTCAATTTGAACTTAAAAAGCAATTATAACTATGCACTTTACTTATTTATTATTGTTTTCATAGGAGACTGAACTTTTAGAGGGTTTAATTTATAGTTTCGATGCTCATAGCCCAAGGCATAACAAGTTTCTTCTAGAAAATATTCCAATTACTACATAAACCAATAAACTGTATTGCTTTTTAATTTTTTTTTTCACATACCATGTTGTTATCGAAATTGAGTGGGTAATAAGGCGGAGTTATAGACATGGGATTATGGATTTGAATGAAATTATTTTGGTGATACTAGGTTGAAAAATATTTGACCCATGTCTGAGGGTTCTTTCTGATGCACCCTAGGAGCCTAGAACATTTTTTTTTTTTTGTAAAATTTTAACATTTTTTATATTATTGTTTTGTGCCTTTGCTCTGCATGGATTTTTAGGTTATAATATATCAATTGATCAAGAAAAACAAATCACTGGTTGCATTAAATGAAATAAAATGTATAATAAATTACCAAAACCAGATTACACTTCCAGTAAAAGAGGCCAGGTAAATTTTTGTCATGAAAAATTGGTTCAGATTCGTTTCTAGCTTCTTTTAAAACTTTTTAATAAGATTTGACTTTGAAATTTGTTGACAAAATATAAATTTTTGGACCTAAATTTATGTGAACAATTTTTTTCATGCTGTTTACTACAGTATTAATACCTCATCAGGATTTTCTCCTAATTCAATGTTTCTACAACTGTTGGAAAGTAGAATTATTGCTCTTACAAACTACTTAAATAACTTTTGGATTCTATGCCTATTGTAAGAAATAAATAAATTAAAACTCCTCAAATGTTTTAATTTTACATCTCCAGTTTTTATTTGTTTATGGGGGTCTGTTTTATACAATTTTCTATAATTTATAGGGTCCTAAATCTGCTAATATTCATGTGAATAAGTGGAGTTATCAAGTTATTTAATTTTTTTTGTTTTTAAAAAGAAAATCATTGGCACCACTGGCAAAAATTTTGAATAAAAATTTTTTATTTTGCAATTTCTTTTTTAAGGATTTTTTGAGGTGCGAAATACAAATCTCCATCCTTTCTTCCCCCCTTATAAAAAATTTGAATACACTTTACTCCTTCGTTCAGTACTAATTTTTTCAGTAACTGCTATGACAATTTTATCAATATTTTTCCAGCTATGATATTTAGAATAAAGCTATGAACACAGGTGGATTTTATAAGAACTATTAATAGAACACAAAATATCAGGTAAAAAATTTTGGTTTTCGCTTGAAATGAATATTCTTATTTAGGAGTTCCTTGAGATGTGAGTGTGATCATCATCTTTATTTATCCCCAAAAAAATATTTAATGGGGCCCGGATGTTTGTATCATGTTTATTATGTACAATACGTGCTTTATTCTTATTTTTGATTCTAATCAGGTTTTGTATATATAATCTTACTCTAGATATCCGGCCAGTTTAGAAAAAAAATGATTTTGGCATGCTGTCATGAATACGATATTGAAAAAAATTATTAAAGTGTCTTAAATTTTTTTTTAAGAAGAAACAAAGTTGAGATTTGTATTTCACACTTCAAAAAATCCTTGAGTATGAAATTTTGTGGAAATCAGAAAATAAAAATGTTTAGTTCTAAATTTTCCTTTTATTATTTTTTAAAAATTGCAAAAAAATAAATAACTTTAACATGACCGTATATCCACATGAATATTAGCAGATATGTAGGGCTCTATAAACATCAGAAAATGGTACAAAATAAATCCCCAGATAAATTAGAACTAGAAATATAAAATAAAAACATTTTAGAAGTTTTTATTTATTTATAATTTATAAAGGTGTAGAAATTAAAAGTCATTGATGTGGTTTGAAAAAACAATAATTAAGATTTCGGAGGGTTGTAGAAGCGTTGAATTAGGAGAAAATCCTGAGGATTTATTAATGCTTTGGTAAATGCCATGAAAAAATTGTTCTCACAAAATTTAAATCCAAAAATTTATATTTTATTTTCAAAACGGAATCATATTCTAGAGTTTTAAAAGATATTAGAAACGAATCTGAATCAATTTTTCATGGCAAAAATTTACATGGCCTTCTTTACCAGAAGCATCATTTGGTTTTGAAATTTATTATGCATTTTATTTTGTTTAATACAACCAGCGAATTTGTTTTTCTTAAATGATTGATATATTATAACCTAAAAATCCATGCAGAGCAAAGGCACAAATCAATAACATAAAAAATTGTTAAATTTCATGATTTCTTTTCTCAGCTCCTAGGGCACATTGGCAAGAACCCTCAGTCATGGGTCGAACATTTTTTGTCTTAGTATCACCAAAAAAAGTTTCATTGAAATTGGTGACCCCATGTCTATAACATCCCTTTCTAATGTTTACTTTACCATCACATATAAAGGAGAAATAAGTTAAATACATGATTTCTTCGGCAGTAATTTGTAATAAGTAAATCTATATTATCCGTAATGATCTTCCCTGGTGGTTGGAAATTAAACCACTCTATCACAATGTCATTAACAGGTCTTTGATCAAGAAATCAAACTGTATAAACCGGCCTTAGTAGTGATGTTAGTTAATTCATTTTATAACTTACAAAGTTATTATTAGATTGATATTTTAGTATTTGTATTATTATTAACTGTATAATAACCTAAGTGAAATACTGATATTGTGCCATACAAAAATGTTTGTTTAATTTGTTATGAATGAAAATTATTTTTATTATTTTATGAATAATGGTACAATAGTTGGATAGTTTTGTATTTATTTATTTTTCCTAGCTATCTTATTTCTTAAAAATCCTGAACAAATTTTAGTCTTTTGATGAGCATATTAGATCATTTGTGTTTGTCCTGACAGTATCTTCAGGTTTAGTTATGTCCTAAATGCAGCACTATATTCAAGGCAAGCTTCATATTCCCAAAGAATATGTATACTCTTCTTCATCCCTTAAATATTGATGAAAGGTAGTGTCCGTTAGAAGATTCATCTCCTCCAAACAGAATTTGAAGGACAGTGATATGTTATGAAACTAGTTATTTTCAATATCATCTTAACTTTATTCCATTTTTTTTTAGGGCAAATAATTAATGAATAACTAATTATTTACTTTATTTATTTTGTTTTATATATAAAAAAAATAAATCGATTTTGTTTTTAACTAGTGATAAATTAGTAATACCATGTACCATGTAATTGACCTAATGTGTTTTCATATTTTAACTTACTGCATTTTTTTTTTTTTGAAGTGTAGGTTTTCCTGTTAGTAACTTAAATTAGTGACTCATGAGAAGTTGGAATATTTTTTGAATAGGTATATAAAAATGTGTGTAAGATATTTTTTGTTTGTGAAAGCTCACATAAACCTACCTGATTGGTTGATTTGGACCAACTCTTCCGATGAACCTAGTATTTCTTCCATTTATTAAGATTTAACACTTGCATTAATTTATTTAATTAAACCTTCATTCATTTACACTAAATTTTATCAATTTCTTCTAACTAGTTTAAATCATTAATATTTGTTACCCTTAAAACATCTAATTTAGGTAAAATTTATATTCTATAAGTAAAAAAAAAATAATTAAGAAAATATAACATTTTAAAAAAAAATTTAAGAATATTGAAAAGGTAATATTTTTGGATAGGAAAAGGGAAATATATTAATGTTTCGTAATTCGCTTATAAGACTGGTTTAATTGTTAAAACAGTACTACCAGAGGATATACATAAATTGAATTATCCTCAGTGTATATATATATATATATATATATATATATATATATATACACACACATATAGTATTAGATATTTGAACTAACTTGAAAATCATGGTTATTTTATTTCAACTAAGAAAAATTATTATATTAATTTTTTTCTAATATTAGTGGTTTCCTATGATGAATTGTGCCAACTGGAGATGATTGATATTATCCTCTGGTGTACTTTCATATCATACTGTTATCTGTCAAAATTGATGGTGAGTAGTAATTTAAGGAAACGGAAGCAATTGTTTCGAGGCTCAACATTGTAAGTGATGGATCACAAGTGTTAAATGTATGATTATTTTCAGAATGGTTGAATTATTAAAAAAAGAAAGTGGTATTTATGATATTTTTAAAAAAATCTTCCAATGTAAATCTTCCTTTGAAAATAAAAAAAAGTGTCAAAATCGTTCTATTTATGATGTTAATTAAAAATAAATGTACCAATTTCACAAACTATTTTGCAGATGTTACTTAATCTAACAGTTGTTAATTACTGTAATTTGTACTGAATAAATGATGGTTACCAGCTATTTCATTGTTTCTTGGTTTATTGAATTTTTATTTAAAATTACCTCTGCAATACAATGGATAAAGAAAA